TTTGTTTGCGCAGTATATATAGACTGCGTACCCATAGGTATGAAGCTACACACAAATTCCAGCCAAGCGTGTGTCCAACTGGGCACATTCAACATTTCTTTTTCGCAGGACAATTTTCAGAGGAGAAAGTATTGGTGTTTGTTACCTATACCTATTTACCTACCTATACCTAGTTTGGTACCTATCACATAGATTCGAGTTCATCATTGAAAACTAACATAATTCGTTTTTTTAAAGCTAGCTTTTTTGGGCTCGCATTTGTTTTCCTATATGTTTTATAATAAAAAAAACAGTAGCTAATTTATGTAGCAAAAATGAAAATTGAAGTTGGTGAAATAGGGCAAGAATTTATGTAGCAAAATTGGAAATTGAAGTTGGTGAAATAGGGCACGAATTTATGTAGCAAAATTGGAAATTGAAGTTGGTGAAATAGGGCACGAATTTATGTAGTAAAAATGAAAATTGAAGTTAGTGAAATAGAGCACGAAATCATTTGCATGCAGAGAAGTCGCAGGAATCAACGAGTTATTTATTTATGCAAAACACGCTTAAATACCTGACTTAGTTTAACGTAGACGTGTAGTTAATTGTTATCAACCGACACTATACGTAGGTACGCAAGGATAATTGGTTCTGCGGCGCGAAGTAAATACATGTAATCAGTTATCAAATATTTTAACTAAAACAGTCACTTGATAAGCGTCCATAAATAAAAGAAAATCTTTTGCTACTCACTCGCACTCAATGGACTTAGTAAAGAGATACCTATTTAGATTTCCGTTTATTGTGTTTATGAGGACCTAACTAAGGTATTATCACTCGTATCTTATAAAATGTTCAACTCACTGTAACTACTGCTATTACTCAAAATAGGTAATTAGCAATAGGGATGATGACGGTAAGAAAGTAAACGAAATTCTATTGGGATTGGGGGCTCGTGACGTCACTTCTAAGTGAAAATTGTACCCGCACGTGAAGTCATGCAACTTTTCAAATCAATACATTATTATCTCCGAAAAAAAGAAAAAAAACCACGTAAAATACTTTTTGTTAATCTAACTGACAGACGAAGAAAAAAAGTTTGTCATCATCCCTACTCTACTAAAACATGATTATGGCTTTAGGTTAGGTCCATCGCCTCTGAGAGTTTCTGTTAATTATCGCAGTAGTTACATGAAAACATTTTTAGGGTTTAATTGGATATTTGCGAAAATTCCGAATATAAAAGAAAATAATCAGCCAAATGGGTGAAAACATAAGAGACAATCCCAAGTGCTGCTTTATCGATTGAAAAAGAATAATATAGGTGTCGATTCTGGCATGATTCTCTAAACCTAAACTTAAATTTGACAACAGTGTATCCTTGTCATATCATCTAGACAGAATGAAAAGGAGAGACTGATGTCAAAGGAGATTGCTCAGCTTCTATACATGTTTGGCCTAAAGACCAATAATCATGAAAAATTGTTTCCTAGATTCGAAATTATATATAAATTACTGTGACATAATAACACAATAATACTGAAACGAATATTATTGACGGACACCCCTGAGAACTTCTATAAACCATATACACTGAACATATTAAAATAATAAAAAACAAATAAGTTATATAGTAAACTTGGGAAATCAAGCCAAGTACCGAAATTATGAATTAGATTCAGGTATATAGAGCATGTACATTAACAGATAGTTGCCTATTTTTAAAGTTAATGCATAAGAGTAACTTTTAAAATCAGGTGTCATTTCCGGTTATAATAAAGTACTCTGTGACAGAAACTGTGTGATCATTGTGAATGAGCCACAGATTAGAGAGAATTTTTAAACTCTCGTTAACCAAAGAAAGCTAAGAGATTTAGGTTCTATAGCCATATATTCAGTAGCTTCATTATTTTTGTTAGGTTGTTTTTAAGATAACCATATTTAAGATTTTTAGTGTATCACACCTTATAATTTTATTTTTTTATAGTCAGGGAACGTAGGTCCATAGATAGATACCTTAAAGTCTAACATTTAAACAGATTATAATGTGTTTATGGAGGTGTTTGGCGAAAAATGTATGGCAATAGACTTTATGATATCGCCTACCATCTATAATCTGAGCACATTTACATCTACTGAAAATTATAATATAGTAGTGGATAAATACCACAAGGTAATAAAAAAAAAATTTTTTTCGATCTTTGCAAAATAGATTTGTTTTTATGGTATATAAACAACTTCGATCAGTCTTTGGCTGAATGTTACTACACCCATAGCCATTAAAAATGATTCGTATGTTTTCCAACCCGGTAATATTAAAAGTCCTTTTTAAAGTAAATATATTATACAAAGGTGTCCGTTGAAATCTAATGACTGTAAATTAAATTATAAATTACGCCAAGAATTACCGTGTATGTCAATATTTTTTGTGCATTTAAGCCAATTTGAGCAATCTCCTTTAGTTTTAAGTTTAGAGAATCAAGCGAGAATCGACACCATATCATATTAAGATGGCATAACGCATAACCACGGTCTAGCCAACGAATAAAGCCATCAGGAAGCAGATTAGATTTAACTAGGTAATGTAACTCAAATAGGCTTATAGATTTTCCGCTCGAATTGGAGCGCACGTCGGGAGATGTACCCTCCACCTTACAGTACATCACAGTGAAATAACACTACATTTTGGTGGTGTTATGTTTCTTTCGGTGAGTAAGATTCCAGGGTTCCACGGGGTGGGGGATTGGGTCAAGGTAAGCAACGGTGCGAATGATATTTTTGGTATTGCAAACATCCAAAGACTGTGGGCCACCACCGTCAGGCGTGCCATACTGTCGTTTGTCACTCTTTTAACATGAAAAAAAAATATAAATAATTTACTAGCTAGCTAGCTAGTTTCCTACTGCGACTTCAGTATCGCGCAACTTTCTTAATTTTTATCCGTAAAAACATTATAGAATTTATTAGCGACGCGATGCATTCTGTTTTTACATAGACTGCAAACTGGACACTTTCCGTCTAACAAATTTGCTCATCTAACGAAAAAAGATGAATCACCAAACTGTGGAGTGTGGTGTTAAAATAGGAGAGAAAAAAATCCAAAAGGGGGGACAAAATATTAATACAACATTTAAAGACATTAAAACATTCGATGAGGGTGAGCTTTTAAGGGAGGAAAACGGTTCATCGCAATTATCGTAAAAAACTACAACTTCTTTTGAAAAAAAATCAATGACAAAATTATAGGTAGGTACTAAAAGATCTACAACTTCTGTATTTACACATTTTCACATAACCTTAAAATATCTGCGAAAAATCGAAATTGAAAGAAAGGAAAATTCAAATGTAAGCTTTTGCATTTTCTGGAAAAGAAATCCTTGTGGATGTATATTTTTTGTATACCACGGTGGCTTATTGAAATATTTGTTGAAGGTGGTTGTTAATCTCGAAGGGACGTCAGCAATTATTAGTGAATATTGTAATACGTACGTAGTGTAGGACGTCCTCAGGCACGATGGAGTGACGATTTGCGCAAGGTGGCTGGCAGGAGCTGGATGCGAGTAGCCCAAGATCGATCTGAGTGGCGTGCATTTGGAGAGGCCTATGTCCAGCAGTGGACTATGATAGGCTGTTGATGATTGATGATTGTAATACGTGCAGAAAGTGGTGAAGACTGAGTTAATTCCTGTGATGACCTGGGAATTTCCGGAGATCTTGGTATAATCGAAACTTCTGGAGATGAGACTAATTCCAAATATAAAAGCTCAACTATTTCGGCATTGTCTGCTGGATCACAGTCTAGTTTAGTATTCTCATGTATGTGGGGGTTATTAGTTTATTAGTTTCCTAGCTGCCGCCCGCGACTTCGTCCTCGTTAACTTTGGGTTTTTAAGAATTCTCTGATAAATTTAAGGCGGAAGCACTTTTCCGAATAGTATTTCGGCGTAAATAAAAGCGTGGAACTCGGCGTATTGGTCGTTTTATTAGATACATCAATATCGGACTAATACACATTTGGTTTATGAAAAGATGCAATTAGATTTAATTTATAACAAAAAGGCACAACGATGAACGTACCGACCATTTTTACAAGAGAGGGCAAAGAGGAAGTGACATTAACCTTTTTTAATAGACTATCGACAAATGACAAAGGATTGAGACATACATCCTTATTAAGGGGTGGACACACAATATCTAATAAATTCCACAGGAATATCCGGGATATAAAGTATCCTAAGTATCTATATCATAAACTGAACTCTTATCTCGTCTAAATCCGTTCAGTATTTTTTGCGTGATTGTGTAACAATCGTACAAAGTCACACATACAAACTTTCATATTTATAATATTAGTAAGATAACAATGGTTATAACAATTGAAACAATTGTTCACCAATTGTCATAGTTTTTTTTTAAATAGTGAGTTTGATACAAATTTACATTATTATTACAGTTATTGCGGTAATGTAGAGATGTTTTTTGACTTCTCATGTTCTTCTCATGTTGTTTGGCGACAATTCGCCAAAATTAAATATTAGTCTGTGATAAGAAGATATAAATTTAGATCAAAACCAGTAGCTAACAACACGTGTCTTTCTACGATTAGTAAGCATACTTTCAACGAATCATACCTAATGTAGGTAAATGTAGATTTAAGTATGAGTAGGCTGAAATCATTAAAAAGATAAATTCAGCATATTGTGTAGTCTGTCAGATTATTTTTTGACAATTTTGAGAATTATTCAGCAAATTAAAAAATGCAGGCACGTCGTATTTTTTATTAAGATTAAGTATTTATAAAATACGAGTTGTTCCTTTACACGATTGTTGTATAAAATCGTAATTTTCGTCAGTAAGAGCTCCATCCCCAGTTACCATAAATCCCTCTATAAATAAGCATTTAAGATGTTTTTACGCCGTATTTACTGAGAAATCAGCATTGTTGATATGTATATTATGACGAGGCCTCCGACACAATATATAGAGTGTCGCTGCGGCTATTCGTGAACACTCTTTCGAGAGTGAAATCTGAGGCGACTCTAGTGTTAAGTTCATTTTTCACCAAAACAAATTTTTGTTCATAGCCACACCTGTGGCGGAACACTCATCGACAGAAGCAAGCAGGAGAGGCACATCAGACCGACCGGTGAGTACAGTACCGCTAATTGGCACCTCACGGTCTCCTGGTGGAGCGAGTTTCTAACAAGCGCCGATTAACACGCAGGTTAGTCACACCCGAATATTGCACAACGCGCCACCAGGGCCACGGAAAAATTGTTTTCATCATAAACATCCTTAAAATTCGCGAGCGTCACAAATGGCTATGAACTTTATGGGCACATTTAAAGCATCATAGAATCATGGTCGAAGTATCAGCAGCAATAAATATCTTTATGAATGTTTAGTCTTCGGTTCAGTTAATCATATAGGAGGCTGATGTTTCCATTGATTACAAACCAATCCTAATTAAGATAGTTTTATTTGAACATCTTCTGAAAGTATTTCCCAGGCTGCGAGGCAGCGCCGTCTCTTCGCATTGCAGGCAACACACAAGGCAAACGAAATACCATTATAAGTAAACATTTGAAAGAAAAAAAAAGCAATTGTATTCTATTTTTATTTTATAACAATTTACTGCTAGATTTTTAAATCTAAAGAAAATTCAAATCTTCAGAAAGTATAATAAGAAATAGTTATTTACTATGTTATTTTAAGTTCTTGACCTAACCTAAATGCAATACACCTTGATAGCTAGTTTTAATGAATCAACTTAAATTAACTAGTAGCATCATCGTTTTACAAAAATACCTAATGACAATGAAATATGAATCCGATATGTAAACAATGATATGCCAAGAACATGATATCTTTAATGTTAAATGTTACACACGTTGAGCATTTTATTTTTTCAAATGTGGTTAAATTGTTTACTTTGTTATGACGAAGAATACTAAAGTCAATATTATTTGCCAAAAGCTTTGGCGTGGCGACATCGCTGTGAAGAATGTCATGCTCAAACAAGCAATCACTGGGTATTTTGTTTTCGGTTTAGTCATACGCATATATACTGTTTAGCATTCTACTATGAAAGTTGGCCTTTCACTATTGATGACGTATATCGTCACAAACATAAAGTATTCTTTTATTCATTGTTATATTTACAACAAGCAGTAAGCTGTAAAACCTATGAAGTAACTCTCTTATCACTGAAACATCGTAAAAGTTTATTAGTTACGAGTGACGAGCCTAGTTATTTTAATTTATTGCAAGCTGGTAATTAGGTTCTATATTTGCCATTATATAAAAAAAAACTTTTGTTTTTTTTTCTCTGGAACAATATTTTCTCTCATGCAGCGTATATTTACTGATGCACTCATTAATGTTGTACACTTCCCATGAAATGTTGACATAAACTGTAGGTTGACTAGGTTGACAACATCATTCACGATGTTGTTATCTCGACACAGAAGCCAGCAGCTCACGCAGGCGAACTTCACAAACACTGATAAACCACCAGCTTTACTATTTCGTCAATATTATGTTCATAAATAAGATCATAAATTCATTTCTATTGGAGGAGTAACATGATTACAGCCTCAAGCTGCGTAGGAATAGTAACTCGTGGAGTATACGTGTAGCTACAAGTATGTATTTATATGGCGTTCCAGGATACGCGTAGCCTACTACGCATACCCTGGAACGCGCTATCCATACGGAGCTTAAGATGTTCCATCTACATATTTATCAATTAATATTTGAAACACTTACTTGAAAAATAAACGATCAACATTTTTTAAGACTGCGTATTTACTTAATTGCAGCAAAGAGCTATTTTAAAGACGAGAGCGTTTCAAAGTGTAAAATAGGTGTTGTTCACTACTTTTTGTCACCCTCCATTAGAAATTTAGTAAATGAAAAGTACGCATATGTAAGAAAACTACGTTTGTTTATTCACATACAAGAACAACAAGAGAATCTTGGAAATAAGTCAAAAACACATTTTTTAAAATATATTTCACCTGTCTTTCATTTTTTCAAAGGATGTAATCGTTATAATATGCTTTTATATAATTTAAATTAGTAAAAGATTTTGTATCATATTTTTAGTATACTTTTATTCTCACTACTCGACGAATACACTCATTTTTATAAAATTTATATTTAACTGCACTATAAAGAACCGAGCTTGTCTTGTAGTAACTATAGATATGTAGTCACTTAAAAAATATGCATAAAACCCCACTGCAGCCCTAACCATCGAGAAGAGATGTAAGTTAAGTTTTCTTGAATTTTTTGATCGTTAGAAACTTATACCCCTTATTTATAAATAAGGAATAAGCTTAGACTAGTTACGCCGTGTTTTGTTCATGTCACTCAAATGCCATTTGTCATTCAATAGACAGAGACAAAACATGGAGTTACTAATCGAAGCGTAATCTTAGTTTATTACTAAGGGGGTAAATGTATTGGAAAACCTAGAGGTAAAGGAAATCAGTTGTCATCTTTAGTGACAAGCAATATTGTTAATATTGGTTAACACCTATAAAAATTATGAGGTGAAAAAAGTCAAAGCATAATTAAACAGCCGTAGTTATTATTACACGACCTCAGAATTTGCGTGTACTGATCACTTTACCAGGGAATCTTATGATTTTCTCGGAATATACAATTGATATCTTTTTCCGAGAATACGAAACGAATAGTTGATATCAATGAACCTGCAACAACGTTTAATGATTTGTTTACATAAAAAATAATTGAATAGACGTTGGCGTAGTCGATTTGTAATAAAAATATTTTTCATGATTATTTAAGAAGGTACTCGTTGTCAGTTAATGGGAATTTAAAGCAGAAAATTATATAGATTTCCGGGACTTAATTTATGTAGATGTTATGTTTAAATTACGGTTAGTTTATGAGTCTTGGGCTTTTTTATAATGCGCATATTAAAATTATTTGTTTATAAAGGCGATTAATCTAATATTGTGATTTTCGTGAAATTTTTATATGCATCATCATTAACATGATCTATTTTTCATCCCCCTGAATGTAAAGTGTGGTCCACCCTAAAATTTTTATTTTTTTTGGACAACATTTTTGGTTTTATTTTTTTATGATACATCATACAAATAATACATATACAACCCTAAATTTTCACCTTTCTACCACCAACCTCTATTTTTTATGGCGGTTCGAAGTTCGCTGGGACAGCTAGTATTAATTATATTCTTTTTTGAAATGTCGAAATATTGAGAGTTTTCCGTGTCAGCAGCGAACTAGGTAGTGCTGATAATACGCCCTACTTTGTGTGTTCTCGTCCAAAACCTGATTACATACCTAAACCTCGATTACATATAACGAGTTTGGCGGTTACCAGGATATCTTATTTTGCTTTGTGTGCATTCGCTTGATTATAAACAGTCTCTCGTATTTGGAGACCACATATTTATTATAGTTTAACTTTAAAGAAAGAGTTAACTACAAACTTTTACCATAAGAAATTATACGATAAAAGCATACTGCATATCATTGAGATTTGTGCGGATAATTATTACGTTAGCTTAAATAAATAAAACACTGTTTGAACGAGTAAAAAATAGGTTTTTAATACTTTTATACATATATCTATACGTTTCGGATCCTTAACAGGCTCCGTTAAATAGGTACGTTAGCTTAAACCATTCACAGTTTAGTATATTTTACTTCATAAACATAATATAAATACAATAAAAATGAACCAATTGACTGCAAATCAATTGTCACAAGCGGTTACAACTAAATATTTCCGCTCATTGATTCTTTTCTAAACGCTATGCTAGTTTCGTAACCTATTGTCTTCTTCAAAGTAATAATGTAGAAATCACATTTATTTATAACAAGTAATTGATAAATGTACAAGCGTATCACATGTATAGGAACTCACGTGATTAAGATTAATCTACTTGCGTGTAGGATAATTTTTGTCTCAATATACAGGTCGGTACATAAAGTCTCTTGCTCTTCATGTTGCCACCAATCCGTACAATTAAAAGCTAAAACAGAAGGAATTTGAAAACGCATGTCCTGGATAAGCGGAAAAAGCGTTTAGAGCTTGTACAAAAATAAGTAAAATTATAACAGATTGTAACGTACTTCAGGCACAATCCTTTAATTTGGCAAATATAGGTACCATTTCACAGCTCTTGGCATCCATATGGTCATCAATTTTAGAGCCATGATTAGTTTCGATGAGCCTACATCTTTGATAAAGTAAAGGAACTTCTTTCTGGGCTATTTGGAGAATAAATAATACGGTGAAAGATAACAAACTTTATCGTTGTATTCATTCTCCAAATACTCAAAGATGTCTTCATTTGAAAAGAAGCTGACAAGTCAAGCTGATCTGTCTGACAAGTTAGAAAACAATCACTAAACTACTAGTCATACGACATTATCACATATATACAAAAATGGGTGCGTGTACTTATGTAGGCGCGTGAGAAGTTATCCTTCTTTGGCATCGTTAAAATTAGTTTTTAATTGCATGCAAATAATTAATTACAATAAATTAATAAAAAGTCTGGAAAAGGACACAGTCAATAAAGTTCAGTTTTAATTTGAAAAAATAAATAAATAATCAAAATATTCAATTAATCGCTACTGAATATAATTTATTAGAACATATGTGATTGTGCAAATCACATATGTATGAAACTCAAACACGTATTCCGAATATACAAACTAGAAACATGTGGATAAATATTATAAATATGAATACCTATAACTGTTACTTTATTACAAAAAATAAAGATGTGGTTTTTGGTTCTACTACACCAATGGTCAAGAGATAGCGCTGTAGTCTCCTGAATCGCGCTTTGGTTCCGTTGTTCCAGATTAATAAATACTTTTTGTTACTTTATTACAAAAAATAAAGATGTGGTTTTTGGTTCTACTACACCAATGGTCAAGAGATGGCGCTGTAGTCTCCTGAATCGCGCTTTGGTTCCGTTGTTCCAGATTAATAAATACTTTTGATAGGCCTTCACAATGCAGTCGTTAGCACCCACTAAATAGAGATTCTATTTCTATTTTGTTGGTAGATTTTCTTAATGTGCGGTAAACACAAAAGTAACGCATGAAGTAGGTCGCTAAAGCGACCAACTTCAT